CAGCACTTCCAGTCGTGACAGACGTGCATGCGTCATATTGAGAACCCACCTTGAGTCATAATTTGTACTAAATATTGTGAATCTAACTTATTTTGGCTACTTCAAAATTTTAAGCGGTATAGGGCTTTTTACATACATATACACAACACATTAATCACACACATACCACAGATCTACAGTATAGCTCCAAATTTTGGTCAGTTGTAGTTTTCATAGAAATCTTACTTTCTTGTTAAAATTAATTTTTGCCAATACAATTTTTGTCATTTTTGTTATAAATCCGCATGCCACCCACATGAAGCAAAAATTTCGTTAGTCAAAATTTTCATCAAACAAAAATGCCTGACAAATTTGACAAAATTTTTGACTGACAAAAATTTGGGGATTTTGATACAAAAAACAACAATTCTATGACTAAAGCCCATTCACATCATGCTTGTATGCATGCACACAATGCTGGTTGATAAAAAGGTGCAGGTGTGGGAATGTTATCAACAACTTGACATCACAGTGTGCTGATAAGCTAGAATAATACAGCTGCCTGCTCAGCCCTGCTGCCAGCTGAACAAAAGTTAATCACATGATATCTATACAGAATAACAGCTTCCTTCTTCTCGCTTCTTCTACCTCTCTTATATCACACTTATACTGATGATGGCTTTATCTAAGGGACCACTGGCAAGAGCTGAGAAGATACAGACACCAATCCCTAGACTAACAGAAAGCAACTGTATAGCAGCCATTGACTTTGGGACATCATCAGTATCAATAGCATACACCACTCCAACTGAAGGGCAGATCAGACTGGTAAAACTTCACAAAACTTATGAAAGAGTCCCTAATGCTATACTAATCACAAAGGACCAGAAGAATCAACAATGCAAAGTCATTGGGATTGGCCATATAGCACAAAGTGAGTACAGTGATTTAAAAAATGATGCCGAAAACTTCATTTACTTTGAAAGAATAAAGAATTTACTAAAAAGAGATAAAGTAAGTTCATGTTGTTTGTTATTTATATTTTATTAATATCAGTTAGTAGATCGCACTACTGAAGTCTCTTCATTCACTGGTGGATCTTATTATCTCATTGAAGTTATAGCTTTTATACTAACACACCTCAAGAAGCTACTGACTGATCATCTCAAAGGGAACTATAAGTCAACTGATTTTGATTGGATCATTACTGTTCCTGCTATATGGAAAGCAAGAGCAAGAAGAATGATGAGAGAAGCTGCTTATATGGTAACCTAATACATGCTTTGTATTTCATTATGTTAATATGATAGGCTGGTCTGACTTCTGATGCTCCTGGTATAACAAAGTTCACTCCAGTTGATTCTCCTTTACCACGTCCAGAGGAGGTTAATCCTGAGAAGCTATCATTAGCTCTAGAACCAGAAGTAGCTGCTATATATGCACAGCATCAGTCAGAAGTATCAGGAACACCTCCACAGAGATATATGGTAGTTGATATAGGAGGAGGTACAGTTGATATTACTGTACATGATAAGAGTAATGGGAGAATTAGTGTAGTACTACCATCAACTGGTAACACCTGGGGAGGTACTACTGTCAATAA